GATTCAATCACTTTATAAGGATATGACTATGGGGTGATCGCTGGATGTCCACATTCTAAATGGAACCATATTATATCGTGACCAATGAGTTAATTTCATTATAACATGAGATTGTATAGGGTTTTACCAGAACCAACCTTATAAAGTGGAATTCCTACTGATTATTACGCCATGTTCTGTTTGTCCATGCGTCCATCCGTCTGGAGTCATATTTCAGAACCCTCTGGACCAAATCAGTTCATTATTTGTATGTGAAACAATACATAATTGACAAAGCTAGGTAAAACAATCTTTTACATTTGATATCAGGATTCTGTTTCAATAAGATTTCTCAAGCTATACAAAATCTAAAGCCATTTATGCTTACAAAAGGATCAGTAAACGGTGCCATAAAGAACACAAGAGGGAATGCTACTTAAATATCCTTATATAGTTTTTGTCACTATGCATCTATGAGACATGTTTTTGTATATTCATTCTCAAATCTTTTAATTTGCTACAGTGTTGTGTCGACAGCTGACTGTCGTCATAGAGGAGCATGTGTCTTGCTTACTGTGATGGACCATGATATCATTCTAACTAACGACTATGCCGGTGAAGCCTATCTGCCTCTTGGTAGCATACCAGGACTTTCTCATGATTGTGGTGGATTTGAGAAACTTAAACCAATGACTTTATTACTAAGTCAACCTACTGCATCTAGTAAGTCAAATTGGTTTGTCTATTCTTTATTACTATAATTATGGTACATTTTGTGAGGTGGGTTCATATTAGAAGCCAAACAAAATGTGCAATGATGTTAACAGTATTATGTTAACTCATGATATGCCCTAAATCTTAAAATGTTTGATACCATGATAAAACCAATACTTTTATACTGTGCAGAAATCTGGTCAGATAGTATAATTAAACACCAAAAGATGTATATGAATATCATGTCACCAATGAAACAATTGCACATGAAATACTGCAAATACCTACTCAAAGTTAACAGCAAAGCGACCAATGTGGCATGTCTTTTAGAATTGGGAAGGCATCCATTAATTACAACAGGGACAAAACAGATGGTCAAATACTGGTCTTGAATAAAAAAAATGCCTGAAAATTCTCTGGTCTATGAAGCATACAGTCTTGGCTTAGAACTAGACAACTCTGGCACCTACTACTGGGTTTCCGGGTTAAAACTTATACTTAAAGATCTAGATATAGACCATTTGTGGCAGGAAGAAAAAAAGCAAAATGCGAACAATGTAAATATAGATAAAATAATATCAGAAAAACTAAAAACAAAGTTTGAAAAAAATTTTAAACAGATTTTAGACAATGATAACAAAGGGAAAAATCACAAAAATAAATTGCGCACTTACAGAGAACTGAAAACAGACTTTTTTTTTTTTTTTTCTGTTTGTTTGTCTTTATTCACATCTGTATTGCATTTTAGTCAAAATCCTAATAGGGATACGAACGCAATAAAGATAATTATTATTACCCAGTACTATTATTACAAAAAATATCAAACTGATATGACCAAAACAAATTTATATTCTTAATGGAAAGTACTAACAAAAATATAATCATAAATTTCAATGAAAACAACACTTTTTTTATTTGTTGTTTATATTTCATCTTTTTTGCTATAAATGAAAAGAACACTTAGTATTTCTAAGAATGTAATAAAGTTATTATTACGGTATTATTATACATTATGTGCACTAACAGACGTCAAACATCGATTTCACATCCAATTTGAAGAATCAGACATTTTCTATGCAGGCTAATATTGTGGATCGCTTTAATTTTAAGAAGACAAATTTTCATGAATATCATTGGTCAGGCTTTTTTAACAATGAAAGCATCACAAGAGATCTTTAGATGAGAGTTAGGTGCCCTTAGTCACCATAAACATCTACGAATGTTTGATTTGAGAATATTTGCAATGTGAAAAAATCAATGGTTTACGCTTTAGCACTAGTTCAAATATACGTTGTTAAGACATATTTCCATTAAAACAAGAGTGTTGTTGGTTTTCCTGCATCTCATGCTACCATAATTCTTTGTTTACAGCCGGCAATGACCTGTTCAGCATCTTGGAAAGCAGAGCACATTCAGACAAGGCTGCCCAGGAAATTGTGAAAAAAAGACATCAACTGATCGAGAAAGTACAGTCTCAGAAATCATAGTCAGAAGGTCTTGGAAAGAAGAGGATGAAATGTGAAAGATATCATACTATATTCAGGGATGTTGCTCCATGTTGTTACCAAAACAACAGAAATAATGTTTACATATTTTCCATACAATTAAATATTTTGCAGTCTAAAGAAATATAAGATTGCACCAATGTTTTGTTTTTATAAATAATTACATACACTAACTATAAACTGTACACGGAGAAATGTCTGCCAACCATGCTTCTTTCGTGACAACAGGGTAGCTGATCAACCAAAGTACAATGTCACACCAGACTTGTGAAAGTGATATACTGAAAAAAATTAATTTACTTTTAACCAATTTGCAATGCTTGACTTTTTCTCTCTCTTAGAATAATTGATTGCAGGCCTTATAAAACAAAATTCATTGTGATAAACCTTTTTCGTAGGCCTTGCAAATTTGTGGCTTTTGTAAATTTCTCCTTTTGAAGTACCTACATCTCAAGTACTGATTACAAATTTTATGGCTGTTATGTCAGATGTATCTCATCATCCTTTACATAATCTAAACAGTTTTTTGAATTTGTGAAATATTTATCAGTAGTTTTAATTTATTTATCAGAAACATCCACCTTATATTGGCTATTAACAATTCATGTATTTGTCAAAATATGTGAAATGGTGTCAATCATTTATCGGTATGTAGTAATTGGCTACTAAATCACATGCATTATGGGATTTATGCAAATGATTTCCTTATATAGATAATATATATATATATTCAGTAAAACTTTCCTGGGATATATCTTTTGCTGCCCACGTCCAACACTATAATTTGACGAACAAAAAGAACTTAATTCTGCCATTTACTTTTTAAATACATTGTATTTTTTACTTAATTTGCCTTGAGAAAATCAATATCAACAGTTTCAGAATAATTTTACTATTAGTGATTTCAACAATATTTTAATGTTGTGCATTGTTTTTATATAATTGTGCAATATTGATTTTTTTAAATGTATTTTGATAGTTAAAGGGATTACAGACTAAACACATTGACATGTACCTATCATTTCTCTAATTGTTACTACGTTATTTATTTATTTATCAATGCAATTTTTATTAGAACAATGACTTCCCAACTTGCAGCGTTCCTTCCGTTAATCGAACCATGAACAATTTATTAATATTTGAGGTAGGTGGTCGAATAAACTTTAAAAAACTAATGGGGCTGAATCATTGTGAGTTTTATTAGTAACTGGATTGTAAACTTAAAGAAAGACTCGAAATGCAACTAATTTTGTTTCTTTTCAATAAAATAATTAAACATCAAGATGAATTGACAACATCCGCTATGTGGTTGAATTGCTAAAGGGAAATAATAAAATATAGTTTGAACCAAAGTCATGTTGTCTAACTAATAGAATGATAATTTACCATCAGTTTGAGGGTTAATTCATTTTGTGTTGTGTTGTATTCAATGCTTACTGACGTAGACACCACCTAATAATGAAACTTCTACATTCCCATATAAAGTGCTTTATTTTCGTTGTTTCATTTTCGTTTCTTACTCAACAATTAAGTTGCATATTATATTGTTCTCAAATTGAAGTATAACAACATCCAACTGTTCAAAAATAAACTTGCATGTTAGTTTTCTAAAAATTGTATTTAGTGGGAATTTATGTTGATTTGGTTCAATAACAAACACAAAATTATAGTAAAATATATAAAGAAAATGTTGTTGGGAAAAATGGTGACACTCATGATTTCAGCGGCACCAGTAAAGTATGGGACCCAGTCTTGCATTGTTTCTTATGAATTGTAGGATTTCACGCTGTTCAACACTGGGGGCGCTGTCTAAAAATGTCACATTTTGTTTGAAACTATGGTCAGTAGTGCTTACTGACATAACATGCAGTGTGGTATTTTAATGGAAAAATTGCACACTGTTTTAAGTAGAAAGAGTTGTAGAGTGTTCATTTACATTGTATTTTTCATGTAGATTATAATAATCCAGTTTATTTTAAAACTTTATCTATATTACTCTTATACATGTGTACATTTTGAAATTTTGGTTGCACTTTTTTTTTTAAGCTTTGTACATGAACTGCAATATTCTATTTAGAACATTCCTATTTTTAATTATTGACTAATATATTGTCAAAACAACATTTTAATTTGAGTTTACAATACAAATTTTATTTGGTGGAGTATGCTTTAAGCCCTTTTTGTAAAATTAATTTGAATTTTATTACAGCTGAAGTAAACCACAAGCAACTGTTTATGGAGTTTTCAGTGATAACTGGCCTAGATATAAGTGATTTCTGCAATCTGCGTAACCTCGGGTCCAGTCTCAACATCGGCAAATCAAACGATTTATGTACATGCTCATACCACTTACCGTAATACATCGTACATTGAAATTGAGAGGACATGATAGTGATATTATATACAACATATTCAATACTCACTTTACTGCCAATAAATCTCTTTTTACATAACTTTGTAGTTTTATATTTAGAGCAAAGGAAAATGTCTGTGCCATGTTTTTGCTGTCCTTCATAATACTGGTAATGTAACCAAATGAATGGAAAAGTTCAGATATTATAAATTTACATTTTGTGTAAAATCAAATTAGCAAAGTTATGAATCAAACATCAGTTGACATCCAAAATTGTACCCTTAAGTTTTAGGATTTGGGATGCCAGGGTACACTGCTTTCAAATTGGTGTACTAGAACAATTTTTTGTTATAGTGCAAGTCAGTATATAAGAATGTGGCAAGGTTTTGCCTGACAACGTGAAGGGCAATAGCTAATCGGTCAACAATCTGAGGTCAAACAAAAGTATTTATGCATTTACTAACTTTAGCAAAAATGGACACCATTTGTCAGCCAGTGGTGTATTGTTGACTTGTACTCATCAATCATGTAATTGAAGCACTGCAGTTTCCACATACCTGTGTTTGAATTTTGTGTAAACAATGTATTTTCCATGTGTTGTATACGTCGCTATGGGTCCCATATCAAACACAGCACGATGCAACGAATGTAGCAATTTAAATATCACTTTACATGAAAATTCTAACGATTTAAGTGTTTGTAATATCAATCATTAGTTTGGAAATTTGAGAGATGTGTAAATATGTGTTAACATCATTCACTGTCTGTGGATAAAGTTATGTGAAGGATCATTCAATTAAAATAATTGTTGTGCAAGTCTCTGCAACCTGGAACAATAGTTTATTACTTATTTTGTGCAGAAACTGGGAATTGAATGGACCAAAGCACAATTATATTTTATAAATACGACAATGAAAATGTGCATATCGAATGATCAAGATTCTTGTTGGATGAGTGCATTTCTGAAAATGTTGATTGAAAAAAACTTTTTTCTTTTTTTTTAAATGTTTTAAACTTAATGTATATTAATCACATCTATAAGAAAAGATGTTATGTACATGTTGTAATGATTAACCATTTAAAAATATTTTCAATTGTTATAAGTATTTGCTTGGTGTGCTTTTCATACTTTTTCAACTAATTGAAGTTGTCAAAACTTTTTTATGTAAACTATTAATATTACTATACTGCCAGTTTTCTGACAAGGTATGGTGGAATTACAATGGAAAACACATTATAAATTTTTAAACATGTTTGACTTTTTTTGTTCATTGACTGTGAACCATGTGTAATGTAAATAGGCCACTTCCATGAACCCCTACCTACCAAAGATGTCATTTTATTTTACTGATTTGTTGTGTTTTATTCCCATACCATTTACCGGTAATACACAATAGACCATTTGTAGATATCAGATGATTATGCTGCAAGTTACGTAACTTTCCAGCCATGGTTCAATTTCATCTGCTGTTAGAATTTACTTCATGAGTGCCACCAAATTAACACCATGTGATTAGGACATTTGTCATGATTTCCTGTACTTTGGGGTGGACACAGTGAACAAGTACAAAATGTGGACTTCTTTATTCGGTGAGCAAGAAAGGAGTTCATCAACTTGTCTCATTTCAGTGGCCATTTTGAATCAAAATATACATATTACTTAAATTCATAACTAGTATAAGGCTGTTTTTTCTTCAGATTTTGACAACATTTCAGGGAATTCCAGTGTCAAAAGTCATACTTGAATGTAAATAGAGAACGCATTTTGGAACAATAACTTGACAACAGAAAAACTCAAAAAACAAAAATACCATGTGACATAAAAAGCTTAAAATGGTCTTCTAAAGGGTTGCGGTCATTGCAGCGACATGCTTTGGTCCAACACTACGCATAGAAACATAATACAACTTGTGAGTCAAATGTGTTGCATAATTATGCAAAATTTAATGTACATGCCCACAATGACCACTGCCCTTTAAATCACTTTTTTTAAGTATAACTTCTTTCTTGTATACCTTTCCCATTTTTCATCTACTTCTACCGTGAAACTATTTTATGCTTATTATTATGTGATGTGTACAGCACAATGCCATCTCATATTGTGTATCTTTCAATCAACAAATACAAAACCATATAAAGTGTGGTCTTATTTTGTTATATAAATATACCACCTAAATTACTGTAAAAAGCAAATATGTTCACTGAGGTCACTATTTTAAATGTTTGGGTGTGTTCACCAGGTCTTAAATTTTTTATTGCATTATCATGTGGATTTAGAAGATTGCATCGAGTAGCAACAGTCTAAATGTATGTGGATACTGGGAACCGATTTAACTTCGTTGAGAAACAACTTTTGTAGTCTGTGAACATCGTGATATTTCATTAACAGTGATCTAGGAGTTCTATGACACAGTGTCAGTGACTTCCACGAAATTTTGTCAAGACAAATCACATAAAATTCTCAAATGAAAATTCCTAGCAACGAAACTTAACCGGTTTATAGTAATATACATGCGCTTTAAAATTGAGTTTCTTTGTTTTATATCAAAACAGATCACCTTTTAAATATAAGATTCTATTGGTACATTCTATTTGTTGTTACACTTATATGCTATAAAGTAGATCTGAAATTGGTGCTTTACAAGTTGTAACTACAATACAGAAGCAGTGAAACCCTGTTAGCTGCCATTGATAGAACATACGAAATCTAGTGTACGTGCCACACGTATACACGACATGCATCATACACACAATTTTTGCTACTTTTGTAACTTTGTGTTCTATATTCACAATTGATTTTATATATGTCAGCAATCATGTGGTTCTGAACAAAATAGTGAAGGTCATGACAGGTTAAAAAAACTTTCATTTGCATCGAGGATTAAGTCATATTTTTGTGTGTGATATTTCAATTTACTGAGAGCTATTTGTTGTGTATACTTACGCTCACATTGTATTTCATCATTGAATAAAATTAACACAAAAAAGGTCTTGTCTATAATTTCTGTTCTAGTGAATAGATCCGCAGAATGGAGAATGTGTAAATAGTGTGTGAATTAAACTAAAGACAAACTGTCTTTAACATGGTTTTAATAATTTCCACGACTCCATTGCAGCTTGATTGGAATTAGCCTCGTTCCCAGCTTTGTAAAGAGTAGGTATGCACCTCAGAAAAAGAGTACCCTGAAATTAGTTTCTGAATCAATAAATTTCTTCCAAAATACTTAAGAAATGAGAAAGTTATCATGAATGAAGCCAGGGAGGTGCGCCCTCAATGGTGGCTGTGTAGAACATTTCCTATGGGCACATTTATTCACTTTGATAGAGTAAATACAGAAGTCCTCTTACAATAACCCCCCCCCCCCCCCCAATTTACATTTCTACAGACCAAGCAGTGGACATTAGAAAAAAAACATTTTATTTCCCAAATAAGTATTATTAACTTGGAAACATGTGGGAATTACATAGTTACTGGCTGTACCACAACATTCAAACAATGTAGATATACCGGTATTTATGAAAATCAAGCTTAAATTTGACATTTATGATAGATATAATGTACAATGCATGAATCCAGTGGTTTATTGCTTAAGTTGATATCTTAAAATAATGCTGATGGTAAATTTTATGTACAATATTTTTCTCCGTTCTATAATTGAAAAGCTTTCTGATATAAAGAATATCCTATAAACAACAAAAATAGAAAGTTTGGAAAACAAAGTTAAAGCATTATATTAACAATCATTTTCAAGGAGAAATATTAAAATTAAATTCAAATATTACAGATTATTATAAAGCATTTTACCCTGTGTATAGAGGATCAAACGTTTCTACTTATTAGCTAAATTACAAAAGAATTGAGTAGGGCATGTGTAAAACTTCAGAGAAAAAAATGGCAGATCTGAAATGGGCGGGAGTGAATCTGCAATGGGTCATAGCAAATCTGAAATAGGCTGGAGTGAATCTGAAACAGGCTGGAGTGAATCTGAAATAGGCTGGAGTGAATCTGAAATGGGCAGGAGTGAATCTGAAATAGGCTGGAGTGAATCTGAAATAGGCAGGGGTAAATCTGAAACAGGCTGGAATGAATCTGAAATGGGTAATAGCAAATCTGAAATGGGCTGGAGTGAATCTGAAATGGGTCATAGCAAACCTGAAATGGGCTGGAGTGAATCTGAAATTGGCTGGAGTGAATTTGAAATGGGCTGGAGTGAATCTGTAATGGGCTGGAGTGAATCTGAAATGGATCATAGCAAATCTGTTATGGGCTGGAGTGAATCTGAAATGGGTCATAGCAAATCTGAAATAGGCTGGAGTGAATCTGAAATGGGTCATAGCAAACCTGAAATGGGCTGGAGTGAATTTAAAATTGGCTGGAGTGAATTTGAAATGGGCTGGAGTGAATCTGTAATGGGCTGGAGTGAATCTGAAATGGATCATAGCAAATCTGTTATGGGCTGGAGTGAATCTGAAATGGGTCATAGCGAATCTGAAATAGGCTGGAGTGAATCTGAGATGTGTAATAGCAAATCTGAAATGGGCTGAAGTGAATTTGAAATGGGCTGGAGTGAATCTGAAATAGGCTGGAGTGAATCTGAAATGGGCTGAAGTGAATCTGAAATAGGTTGGAGTGAATCTGAAATAGGCTGGAGTGAATCTGAAATGGGTAATAGCAAATCTGAAATAGGTTGGAGCAAATCTAAAATAGACTGTGGCCATTCTGAAATAGGCTGGAGCAAATCTAAAATGTACTGTGGCAAAGGGCAGCAGGAAATCAGAAATGGGTCAAAGTAAATTTGAAATCATCAAATGGGCTGGAGCAAATCTAAAATGGGCTGCAGCAAAGGGCAGTAGGAAATCAGAAATATCGGTAGGTAACTGCAAGCACATACAAATCTCTTTGTTAATAATCTAATAAACACTGATGGCTTTTTATGAACTGAAGCAATATTTTGTGAAATAAATGCCATACCATGTAATACCTTCCAATTCCTATTTGCCATAGCCCATATGGTATATTTGAGAGTGTAATGGCAGTTGGAACATTATAATTAATACATCTTTATGTAGTAGAGTTTTAAAATCAAATGATAATTTTTTGCACAGTTGAGAAAACTGTTTGTGAATGAAGACATAATATTTTTGAAAGTTTCAGAGAAATTAAAAATCATAAAGTCTTATATTATTGCTTCCATGTAAAACTAGCGATACTAATTGAATATAATCTCAAGTTATTTTTTTATTGGTTATTAGCAGATATCCCTGATTATCATAGTGGAATATAAATTTGATATAAATAATTTAAAAGTAAATGCTGTATTGTTTGTAAAACTTATTATTGCTATTAAAGAAACTTAAAAAATATTTCACTTATGCACACTATTCATATGCAATTTTTTTATATGTTCCATTTATACAAACAACGGTATACACACATGCCAAATGTTCAGTTTTGCCAATCAATACAATGTTATTGATATTTCTTAGTTTTCAAACTGACCGATGACCAATTCGTAAACTAAAAATAATTTGATATGTGTTGTAGATCAGTGCAAAGACACTTTGCAGATATGCATGTTATTGTGTAAATGTTTTGAACTTCACTTTTATCAATTTGTACGACCTTTTGTTTAATTTAGTTGTTAATTATGAACCAATGAACTTCATTTCTGATCAGTTACATGTATTGATGTACAATTTTGAAAAATATGGAAGAATTTATTGGTGAAGACTGACAAAAACATTGATTGTCTCACATAACGTTGGAATAAGCCACATTCTATGTTATGAAATTGTCAGCTTCGAATACTAGTAGTCTGCAAGAAAAACACTATCTTCAACAGAAATAAAATATCTATTTATAAATAAAGCATGTTTGTCATAAACAAGCTGGATCTCACGAGATACAAAATTGAAAATATTCAAATAATAATTTCTTAATGTAAAATATAATGAAATCTTCAATATCATATTGCTATATAAATTTATCATTTCATATTTTTTTAAATAATTTTTCATCATTATTTTTGTGGCAGATTTGTCATAACATGTATTTTGTGAACCCAACATATGGGATACCTCCACTTAGGGAAACTTCAAGAAGCTTTTTCACAGACTTCCTAAATCGCCCACATTTCACATTGTTTTATCAGAGAAATGTAACGTTTACAAAAACGTAAGTAACAAACATTGTAATTAAGAATACTTTTGGTGGTGATCGTAGTCATCAATATCAGCTTCAATCGCTGCTGTAGATCGTATAACATCCGAACCATACACGCCGTTCATATGGCTAGCGGCAAATGCTGATCCGTTATGTTCACCAGATTTAGGATTAGTCAGACTGGCTTTGTATTCAAGCTGAGCATCCACAGGGAGTTGTTTCACTCTGTCTTGTAATAATTTCAACAGGAACATTTTGTCTTTGCCTTCAACACCGATTTGTACTCGTAATTTTGCCACTAATTGTTTGCTGCCTGTGGCAATTGAGCTAAAGTAGTATACAAGGAGACTAAGAAAAGAAACACATAATGATGCTTATGAGTAATTTATAATTCTCACAATCAAAGTGAGAGTAGGTCAACTTTTCAACATGTATCGTATATTGAACAAATCATAAAAAACAAACAGAAAGCTTTCACAGTTATTAATCTGCCATTTTGTGCTACACCAATAGCAATGCTTTTTACATATCAATACACTTTGGGTGATCAGGTGACATAACTCCATTTAAAAAATATGTATTCTGACGCATGAAAAGTAATCCTAAAGATTACTAATATGATATTACTACAAGATTAATATTAACTGACCTTAGTAAAATAGCGACTATCAAAACAGTTCCAGGTGACATGAGAAGGTCTATGATTACATAAATAGCATTCAATGTGTTACTATCTGCCCATTCTTCTAACAGTTCAGTCACCACATCATACATGTACACCAAATCCCGGAATGGACCACATTCATTTGATGATTCAATACTGCCAAACAAAGACACATTATTGAAAAGAAGTATTCCAGAACGTCGTAGGCTGATATTATCAAGTTATTACTGTATATATATTATTTACAAATCTGCTGAATTTAATCCATGGAACTGTAGAAAAGCACTCTCTATTGATAGAAGAGCACCCTCTAGTGATAGAAGAGCACCCTCTAGTGATAGAAGAGCACCCTCTAGTGATAGAAGAGCACCCTCTAGTGATAGAAGAGCACCCTCTAGTGATAGAAGAGCACCCTCTTATGATAGAAGAGCACCCTCTTATGATAGAAGAGCACTCTCTAGTGATAGAAGAGCACCCACTAGTGATAGAAGAGCACCCTCTAGTGATAGAAGAGCACCCTCTATTGGTAGAAGAGCACCCTCTATTGGTAGAAGAGCACCCTCTATTGATAGAAGATCACCCTCTATTGATAGAAGATCACCCTCTAGTGATAGAAGACACCTTCTAGTGATAGAAGAGCACCCTCTAGTGATAGAAGATCATCCTCTAGTGATAGAAGGATACTCTATTGATAGTAAAAATATTTAAGCGATAGGAGAGCACCCTCCATTAATTTGTCTTTTAATGGCAATGTAGGCAAATATTAATAATAATTTTTAGAGATAGAATAAGGCCTTACCTGACCATACTGTAACAAACAGTACCAGCTGCTAAGAAGAACATACATAACAACATACCCAAAAATACTGTAGTTGTTCTGCCAGCTCGCCATGGTTTTAATGATGGGGTACAGTTACCAATAACACTGTACTATAAAAGGAAATACAAACATTTCAGATCTTCTCTGTACAACTACTGCACAAACAAGATCAAAATGATATACTTCTTTTGATAATTCTGGAAAATTCAGATTCTGTAAATATTATTAGTTTTTTAAATATATCGAGAATTGATGTATTACATAAAAAATTACATTGTATTCAATTACTGAAGCTTATAGTGCAATGCATCATGGGATGGATACTCACCCGTTTCACATAGAATAATACAATAAGTTTTATTATGCAAATGAAAACAAGTAAAGGCGAATAAAACAGACCAAGCCTGAAAAAAACAAATATAATAAAATGCTACAACTGAAAATTATATCAGAATCACAAAGACTATCAATTAATGCAAAATTCATTCCAAATAATAAACATAAAAATAATAAACATGACAATATATCAATTTATACATGCTGTTATCTGCAGACTTTTACTACTGATACAAAATATATTTGTACTATGGTCAAATGCAGTCTATTAACATTTGAATATACATAACACTTGTTACCGGTACACAGCAAAGTGCATTAAGAACAAGTCATTGTCAATGACATAGTCCCTGTTTGTTCTATAGGCATGAAATATTGCATGATCAGCGAGGCGATATTCATAATATCTATTTACATGTATGAGATACGTTTCTGGGAATTGCTCCATTGAACAAGATGACTGCCAGTCAGTCAACCAGCCATCTGTTTTTGTCCAATATGTCTGATATAATGTTTGAAGATGCAAAAATGGCTGCTAGATGGCCTGTTTGAATTCATCCCATCATGATTCCATTATGTTCAATATATGTACCAAGTTTAAACCAAATCTGTCCAAACATGACTGAGATCTGTTTGCGGAATGGTAAACATGTGTGATTTTGATACATTTTCAACCTTAAAATGGCATCTAGTCAGCCATCGTCAATTGAATCATGAAACAAATGCAGTGTATATGTCTGATATGATGTATGTGTGAAGTTTAAACTGTTTAGATCTTATCACTCATTAAGATAAGTTTAATACTACCCAAGTTTTGGATTCATGTTAAGGTTGTAGTTAATACATTACCAGGTTAATGTTTGTGACTGGATCAATTCCATGGTGTTTCTTGCAATATCAAACTCTGGTCTGCTCCGTGTTTTACAACAGTAATCACTGAAAATCCTGTCAATAAAGAAATGAACAAGACGATGCTGCTTGTGAGGGTGAATGTAAATATTTATTTAGCAATTATTACAAAAGGTAGTTTGCCAGGTTGGGGGGGGGGGGCGTTTCAGTCACAGATGTTTTTTCTATACACTGGTAACATGTAAACTGAAATAAGAAAGAAAAGTGAAATGACTTACCTCATCATGAACTCCACGAAGAATGTTGAGATCAATAGAAAAATGAAATCAATGATGACAAGACGATATAATTCTTGTCCAAATTCAGTCTCCCAACAATTCTGAAATAATTAAAATGCAGATTCAGTCCAAAAATTAATATCAATAATATAAAGGTCAAGTATGTTGCAAAATACCCCCCCCCCCAACTTGCAGACAGTAAATAGTCTTCTCTAGCTGCAATATGAGGCACACATGGGAAAATTGACACACTTTCCAGACAAGGTTCATTTATTGTAGGAAAGAAAGGCAACAGTAGTTACACACATCATGATAGAGCTAGAAGTCAAAAAGACAATGCTCTGATTAGTACCATTCAGCTACAGTGCTCCTTGCTTTCATTTTTGAGTCAGTACATACAGCTCTAAAAACTGAAACAACTGACACATTCCCAATAGAGGGCGCTGTTGGATAATACTGTAGCTGTTGAAATTGATATGAAGTACTGTAAAATACTTTATATTCGCTTGAAATTTATTTTCACTTAAGGGATAATTCAATGAAAATAGAATCCAGTGAATATTTCTTTTTTCCTATATTTTTTATTATTTATTATATTTTTTATCATCAAAAATCAGTGGAAATGAACTCTATATAAACGTCCAAATAGTCTTTTCAGTGAGAAATAATTCTAGCCAAAAAAAAAGTATTTTACAGTATTTAATCATGGTTTGTTTCAAAAAATATTATTTCTTTGGTTTACTATTTATGTGTGAACTTCATGTTCATTTTATTGTGGAAGCATGATAGATTCTGTACAACTGCTGTACAAATTTTTTACTGAGATACTGAAAAACAGCAATAAATTGATTTAGTATTTAGGATAGCAGAGCATAACCAATGAATGTAAATACAATAACTTACTTCAATACATACAACTGGGTTTTTAGTTGTGTTCACATACATACTAGGTGTTGTTGAGATGTTAGTGATGCTGGTTTCATTGGCTGCACCAGAACTTGGTGTGTACATATCCACTACAAAAAATACAAATAAATTTATACTTGTACATCATACAAGTGACATCATATTTGCATTAAAAAAATAAAAACATTTCTGGAGCATGGAATTTTCAGTTTAATTACATTAAAAACATTTTGTACCGGTAACCTTCTCATGCATGCAAAAACAAGCACCAATTAAACATTTTCATATTTTACTGATGAGGTAATGGTGTTTTATAACTAGGTATAAAAACATAAAAATGTCATGCCACAATGAAAACTAGCATTGTTCATGATAACCCTTTCAAATAATGTGTAAACTATTTTTCATTTATCACAAGGGAAGGATGCAGGACGGATGTTGTTGGAGTTTTGTGATGAAAAGGAGTTGTGTGTAGCAAATACATGGTTTAAGAAGGAGGACAAAAGGAAGGTGACGTTCAGCTCTGGAGGAAACGAGACAGAGATTGATTTTGTGCTAGTGGACAAGGAGAAGAGAAAATTTCTGAAGGATATAAAGGTATTTCCAGGGGAATTACAACACAGGTTGGTGGCTGTGGATGTGGACAAGAGGAGGGTGAAAAAATAGTAAGGAAGGTAGCACTGGTGAGGAGGAATGTGTGGAAATTGAAAGAAGAAGATACCAGAAAGATTTTTGAAGCGAGAGTTGGGGAGCTTGTGGAGACTGATGCATCAGATTTGTGGGGGTGCTTTAAAGAAGGGGTGTTGCAGGCATGTGATGAAGTTTGTGGGAAGAAGAAAGGTAGGAGGGGCAGAGGAGACACAGGGTGGTGGAATGAAGAGGTGAAGGAAGCAATAGCAAGAAAGAAAGATGCATACAAGAAAATGCGAAAAAGTGGTACTGAAGAGAATAAGGGTAGGTATAAGAGATTGAAGAAACAAGCAAAGAAAGTGGTGGCAAAGGCCATGAGGGAGGAAAATGAGAAGGTGCTGAGTGAGCTTAAGGGGTAATCCAAACAAGGTATATAAGATAGTGAAGGCAATGAAAGGGGATGGAAGAGATGTTCAGGAGGGAAGATGTATGAGAGGAAGCGATGGCAAGTTGAATTTCAGTGAGAGAGATAGAAGTAAAGTCTGGAAAGAACATATGGAAAAAATCATGAATGAGGAGAATGAGTGGGATCAGGATGTGGAGGCTGATCTGGTGGAAGGGTCAGTTGAAAGAGTGAGTCGAGAAGAAGTAGTGAAGGCAATCAGAGACATGAAAACTGGAAAGGCTGCTGGACCCTCGGAAGTGAGCACGGAGATGATTTGTGCAGTGGAGACATAGGGATTGGTGTGATAATGGAGTTAT